CTTAACCCATCACCCCCTTTCGCTGAAGAATACCGCTATTTGTTTTCTTTTTTTTCTTTGCTCACTTAGTCTCTTTTTTCTTGGTCCTAAAACTACTTACCCCACCCCCCCTTTCGCCGAATAATACTGCTATTTGCTTTCGTTTTTTCCTTGGTCCTCCCTCATAATCATCCCATCCATCCGCTCTTTCACCAAATAATACTGCTATTTGTTTTCGTTTCTTTTTTTGCTCACTTAGTTTTTTTTCTCGTCCTCAACCACTTACCCCATCCCCCCTTTTGCCGAAGAATACTGCTATTTGTTTTCCTTAGTTTTTTTTCCTTGGTCCTAAAACCACTTACCCCACCCCCCCTTTCGCCGAAGTGTACTGCTATTTGTTTTCTTTTTTCTCTTTGCTCACTTTGTTTCTTTTCTCGTCCTCAACCACTTACCCCATCCCCCCCTTTCGTCGAAGAATACTGTTGTTTGTTTTCTTTTTTTCTACGTTGCCACTTGTACGCACCCTCATACGAGTACGGATTCATACTCTTGTACTCGTACGCTAGGGACCCCGTACATGTTTTTTTTTTTTTTTTCCAAATCTGGTATTGTTTTTATTTTTAATTATTTTTTTCTCAAATTCGGTATTGTTTTTATTTTTTTTCTCAAATTCTATTAAGAATCTGAAGATGATGCTCGACCAAATGTAGCTTGCTTTTGCATCACATAGTTTTTTTTTCGGATTTTTTTTCGGATTTGTTTTTGTTGTTTTTTTTTTTGCTTTTTCGTACGGGGACGTACAAGACATACAGGCCCCCGTACATGTTCCCGTACAGATCCCGTACAGAAATAACCTGTACATTTCGTACGGGAAACCCCCGTACATGTACTCTATGCAACGTAGTTTTTTTTTCCTTGCTCAGTTATTTTTTTTTTCTCTTCCTCCACCACTTACCCCATCCCCTCCTTTCGCCGAAGAATAGTGCTATCTGTTTTCTTTTTTTTCTTTGCTCACTTAGTCTTTTTTTTCTTGGTTCTCAACCGCTTACCCCATCCCCCCCTTTCGCAAAAATATACTCCTATTTGTTTTCTTTTTTTTCTTTGCTCACTAAGTCTCTTTTTTCTTGGTTTTGAACCACCTATCCCCCCCCCCCCCCCTTTCGCCGAAGTATATTGCTATTTTAGAGAAAAAAAAAGAAAAGAAAAGAAAAGTAAAAAAAAAAAAACTAAAGATGGAACACTGGGATACAAGTTACACTTGGATAAAGTAATAGTATGAGGCACTGGGCGACATGGGGCTAGCAATCAGGCCTGATCTGGTTGGCTCAAAGTGATCTGAGGAGAGACTTCATAAACTGTTTGTGAAAGTTGTAATGCTTGATGGAACCAGACATTCAATCCTCTAGTCTTGAAGAATGGTGGAGACTGCAAGAGGCCAGCAGCACAGCACACGACAGACTGAAAGGTACAATCAGTACAGCACACGACTCGAAGTCAACGCAGCCGTATCATCAAAGACATCATTCTTCTCAGAAAAAATATACGTTAACAGGTGAAATGTTAACAGTACAATCCCGTGAAGCTCATAAGAGTGATGAGTGATGAAAGTGCGAAACCCCCGACCAAAGTCAAACCGCAACGTCATCGTCAAAGAAGGACGACAACGCTACCTCATCTTCCGGTCCAAAGCCCATCCACACACGCAACGTTATCGTCAAAGAAGACGACGACGCTACCTCATCCTCCGGTCCACCGTAAGTCGCACCCGCCGTCACTCGGCGAAAGGGAAGTAATACGTCACGAAACTTCCTAATATCCGCCTACCTCCACTATGATGCCCACTCGTCGGTTCCACACAAAACAAAACCAAACCAACCCTCCGGCGACAGGGTCACACCCAAAAACTTCCTAGCTAATATCTGGCAAGTAAGAGGTTCAAACTTCAAACAAACAAACGATTCGCAAACCAAAAAATCTGAAAAACAGTCCGATACTAGTCCCAGCAAAGGCTACCGGCTCGAAACCCCACTGTGGTGGTACGGAGGGAACACCCTGGTCCCAACATACCGCCACTCCTTGTCGCATTCACGTACCCTCAAGAAATCACACACCACCGCCCTCTATATCCTATGAGTACTCCAAACCTCTGCATGCACCCTGGTCCCACCACACTCTCAGGAAACAAAAGTATGGCCGCTCGTCAACAACATGGCGAACAACTTCCAAATTCGTCTCCGCCCTCTGCTAAAACTCCTCAGTACTGCTCCAAACCACTTCCATTGGTAGTCCCTTCTGCTGAGTTCCATCCTCAACAAGATGAGGGTGTCAAGCACATCCATGCCCATGTGCGAATTCTGATCGATTCGGTGTAAGGCACTCATTATAGCTGCCATCTTTGCCTGTTTACAGCTCCACGAATCGAAGTCCTTAAACGTGCGAAAAGGGAGATTCCTATCCCTATTTCGCAACTGTTCCTCGTTCTTCAATGTCAGCATGGTGCTAAGGAAGGGAAATTCTTGGCTAATCGACAATCTGCATCCCAAGAAGTTTCATCCATTCTCCTCCTCGTCCGTCCGCTTCAATGTTAGAGCTTGATCGTAGCAACCTTCGAAACTCTTTAGCAGCCTTACCGCCTTTTCTCTGTCACCCGCCTTCTTGCGATTGAAAGCAGCAAAAATCGACACATCATCCACAAACCGAAGTCCTTAAAAAACTCTCCTCTGACTTCCCAAGGTGATCATGAAATCCCACTCGTGTTTCGCACACATCAAGCATGTCAGCGGGGGACTCGAGCTTTTCCCCATTGGTATGCCGATCACTTGCTGAATCAGGATCCCACAAGCCCTCGTAAAGCAGAACTCAAGTTCGAAAACAACAAACCGCAACAACAAATCAAAAGGAACAAAGACGAAACCATCCAAACGACTACTCCTACTCAGTCGAGCCAGTTTCCCTCTCCTCTGTACAAAGACTCCTTCGTACCCTTTCTCAGAGAACCACCACGTCACCCATTCAATTGCCGAAACAATAGTTGCGTGAGGGAGTCTACAGAACATGTCTTTAATGTCAAAGGAGGCCTCGACAATTCTGGCATTCCGCCTACTCCTTCCAAGGCGATTGTTAATAGCACTCAGTTTGTCTTTCATCGACGATACTGATTGCAAATTCAGGTGTCCTGACTCAGGCAAAGAGAACAACAAGCAATTGATTCCCTTTGCCACCAACTTGCATGCCTTAACCGAGGGTTCGCTGAAAGTGGGACAAATCGGTCGCCACTTTGCAGTATCTTTGTGTTTCGGTAATACATAGGCATTGCCATATCTTCCCTTGGGATCCCACTTCCCCAACGACGCAAACCCAAGGGAATGAAAGTCAGACTTAGCTCGATCCAATATTACCTCCTCTCTATCTGCACACACACGATATCCATCACCTGTCAGAAACATGTCTTCCATACCCTTATCATACAATTTCGGACACAGGATCAACGTATCACCGGGGTTACGATCTAACGGGGTCAACACAAGACCATCCAGACGCTCTTTGACAGCTAAGACTTGCTGCATTTGACACGCTGCCCGCTCCGTGCTGCGGGCAAAGCAAACAGAAACCTCACAAGAACTGAAAACACATTCCTCTTTCGTCAGTCCCGATGCATCTCGCCACAACTCAAATGCTGAAGTCAGCTCCTTTACCAGCTGTCCATCCCTCCGCTCCCGATCCACTCGAGGTTTGTTCTTTGCGTTACACACGACATCAGGTACGTCAGGCAATTCACCAATCCGTAGATGTACGTGTCCATTCCTTTTCGAAAGGTTCAGTCCAACACAAGGGCAACTGGACGCACTCACCGACGCAAATTGCCGGTGGTTGTGGAGAATCTCGCCCACGTTCAGGCATCTCTTCCAGACAACACGTGCACGACCTTTACCATCTCCTTGATAGGTCCCGCTAGCTGCATACTGCCCACCTTTCTTCTCACAACCCTCATTACCTCACTCTTACAAATTCTATCGTCGAATTCCACCTTCGTTATAATCCTAGTTCTGATATTCACATCGAAACGATCCCGTATTGTCCGGGAGATCATCGTTCTTGCCTTCGATCTACTCTTCTTCGTGGTGAAAGCCTTAACCGCGCAGTAGTATCGAGCGAGCTCCAGCAGATTCGTCTTTTTCAACACTAGCCGCTTGCGAGGATTCTTGAACATTCCCACCATCTCATCTCGTAGGGCCAGTACCGCCGGTGATGCTTATGAAACTCTACATATCGTAACCTTCCCTTCCGTCTCAAAAAACCTTTTACACTTCCGTAAAGCATGAGGCCCCTGCGTGACTTTCACTCTACTCTCCCCAAATAGTCTCCTCACCACCCTCCATCCATCAACCTAGGTATTACCACCTTTACATCACAGCGTAACTTCCCGTTTCTGCTTGCTCAACTCGCATAACTTCTCGACAATCCTTACCGATCCTGCATCCTCGCCTTCCACCCGTACCTCAATTAACTTCGCACTAGCCGTCGAATACTTTCCCGTACTTCGACCACCTTCTTTCGGCCACTTCCTCCGTTCTTTCCTACCTGGTCTCCTCTTACTCTTTTTCTGCGCTTTCCTCACCTTCACCGACCGGATGTTCAAAGATGGTGACCAGCGCTTGATCAAGGCACTCTCGACAACCTCCAGTTCTTGCCTATTCTCGCTAGTAAACAAAGACAGCGCTACATAGCGATGAGCAACTACTTTACCGAGCCAGTTATACAACTTCTGTCTCCTTTTCCCGTTTCTTCTACCCAGAGAAAAATGCTCCCGCCATCGAGTCCTCAGTCCCCTCTTCGTAACACCGATATACACTTGCTTATACCATGATGAGATTAACAAGTATACGCAACTTCGAGGTTCAGATAGGTCAAAAACTCCCTTCTCAACTTCATCATACCAGTTTTCTAGGAACTTTTCACCCCACTTAAGGCGTCCTTGCAAAATCAGGCCGATCGTAGCCGCTCTCAGGGTTCTCTCGTCACCCTGGCCACTTCCTTCATTCTTTCGTCTTCTTTCGCGAATATTCTTTGCAATCCCGAGGTAGTCGTCGCAACGACCAGGTTCCTAATCCGACTCGTCGTTCGAATAGGAAGCATCGGAATCCGAAAAGTCAGTGGCGGCATTCTCCTTGACTTCTCGGATCACAACCCCTCTGGTGCTCCTTGCTACCGTTTTCGGAGTTGAAGGTAACGGAATGTTCGCCGGGTCGTATGCCACCGCGGACCTACGAATCACAAGACGTTTAATCGCCAATTCTCTCTTTCCATAAGCAACTCTCTCTCGCCGACATGCTTCCTTGAGTTCCTCGACGGTCAAGGAGTCGTAAAAATCATGGCAGTCGCGTTCGAAGCGCTCTTTCCCGCCAACACCGCAAGATGCTGTAATATGCTTGAGTGAGAGGTCAATCTTCGTCAGTGTGCTGGCGGTCCCCAAATCTGTCCCAAGTTTCTGCTTCAACACTTCGATACGAGCCTTCGATTCTTCAGTCAGTTTCGTATTCGCCTTCTTCTCGGGTGTACTCACTGGGGGACTATTCCCAACCGGTAAGTCGGGTCCCCTTTTCCGCTTCTCAATCAAGTTCATTCTTGCCGCCATCCTCCTCAAGGTACGTAACTCCTCGTCTTTTGCCTCGTCAGCAGCTTCAAGGGCTTCGGGAGCTATCAGGCGACGCAACCTTTCTTTCTCAGCTTCGATCGCCTCACTGTGTCCAATAGTTCTAGCTGCCCCTTTCCCTTTCCTCTCATATCTTTCCCTTTTATCTTCTTCGTGCTTCCTCATCTCGCTATGGATGATCTGCAACAGCCTGGTGTCTCTTTCTTCCTCGAGTTTAATTCGCTCCTCCTGTCTCATCAAACATCGATTTTCTTTTGCACATCTCTCCTCTTCTACTTTGCACAGTCTGACTTCTTCATTTTCTCTTTCAACGCGGAGTCTTCTCTTTTCCGCCATTTGTATGAAGTATTCCCTCATTAACGAGTTCGTGTCATCACCAACTCCTCTCTCACCACCGCTCTCAGTAGACCAACTTCTTCGTGCCAAAGTGTCCGTGCTCGACATCCTGGACCTCCCAGGTGCCTGCGTGTTCGTCTACGCTGATGGCACAAATGTACGTCCGAGTGCCTTCGCTTGCCAGTACTCCGCACAATCCTGAATGAAATGGCCACCTTCCCCGCATTTATAACATTTTCGGTTATCCGGAGGTACTCCCCCACTCCCTCCTCCTTCCATCTTCCCCTGCACTCGGAACTCGTACTTCTAATCAAACCTCCCAATCCTCAACGAACGAAAGTCTTCGCGGAACTCACTGGATTCTCTGTTAAAAGCCGCCACCGCCGCTAGGTACGATTTCCTAACTGGTTACGACCCTAGGTGATAGAATGGTAGAGACTGCAAGATGCCAGAAGCACAGCACACGACAGACTGCAAGGTACAAGCAGTACAACACACGACTCAAAGTCAACGCAGCCGTATCATCAAAGACATCATTCCTCTCAGAAAAAATACACGTTAACACAACTTAACAGGTGAAATGTTAACAGTGCAATCCCGTGAAGCTCATGAGAGTGATGAGTGATGAAAGTGCGAAACCCCCGACCAAAGTCAAACCGCAACGTCATCGTCAAAGAAGGACGACAACGCTACCTCATCTTCCGGT